CTAGGGATGGCAAAGTCGACTTCGACTTTCGACCAAAATCGACTTTTTACTCCTGAAAATCGAATTTTATTGATCGACTTTCGGTTTATGGAAGTCGACTGAAGTCGACTTTTCACTTTCGACTCTCGACTTTTTTTTAAATTTATTTGCATATAAAAACTGATCTTCTAACAAGAGCGCGGAGTGCTGTTTGGTTGTATTTAAAAAAAATTGCCAATAAAACTGAAGTGAAATTTGAAAAGTGTGGTAGAGAAATGAATTTTAATGACAGTACAACAACATTGTCAAATCATTTACTAAATAAAATTACTATACGAAAACAAATTCCTCAGTAGCTGTCTGGGCTACTCCCATATATATCCATGCTTATAAAGTGGCACTTATATTTCTACCTATACCCGCCAATTCTGCTCTATCGGAAAGGCCACATTTTTCAAAAAGTTGTCCGTAATTACCAAATATCGATTAAAAAAAATTTTTGAATTTTTTTTTTTAATTTAAAATTTGTTTTATTATTTTTCAAAAATATAATTTTTAAAAACCCTCACAACCAACATTTTCATGCTGTAAAACTGGAACAATTTTCAAAATTTTTAAAAATCCTTTAGTGTCTGTTTTTTTACCTAGCATTGAATTTCACTAAATTACAGATTATTCTAAAGACCACTAGTAAATCATGATATTTTTGGCGTATTCTGACTCTTATATTTATAGCTAATATATGAGTTAAGTGCAGAGTATACTTAATACATTTTATTTTTATTAAAAAAGTCGAAAAAAGTCGAACAAAGTCGACTTTTCTTCGTGGATCGGTCGACTTTTAAAGTCGACTGTACAGAGTCGATCGAAAAGTCGAAAGTCGACTTTCTAGTGAAGTCGAACAACCCTACCTCAGTCTTCCTGAACCTGCATATCAGAGAATCAATTCTCGTCCTGTGAAAGCGTGAAGTAAAAATATGTTTCATCAAATCAAATCATTTGTTGTTGCGAAAAGAAAATGTAGATTTTTTGTTTAGAATGACTTGGTAAAGAGTAATATGGAAAAGTCTTTAATTATCAAGAATCATTTAAAACGCCAAATTGAAAAAGTATAGTTTTCACTCAGTTGAAATCTTCATTTTCACTTCACCATTACACAAAATGAGAATTGGCTCCTGCTTTCGCTCATTGAGAACAAGATAAATAATCACCCATGGTACATGGTATTTATGTGCCTTGATAATCACCATTAATTACCATTCTCAAATTATTACAATTTACATATGTATATAAAATCTGATGATTTTTTTTCTGTTTATTCTTTTATCCATCGACAGGCTTTCGGGCTTTCGGACGGGAACGGCGCGTGTTTAAGCAAATTTTTTCAATAAATAGAATTTAGGTATTCACACCTGCCTGATTTTCGGTAATCTAGTTGTGTAGTTTTATTTTTATTCAGTTGATGACAATCAAATAACCTGAACAAAAAATTATTTACAACTAGTTAACCTTATTACCGGGATGGTATGATTATCTTCAATATCTTGTAAGAAAATGTTGTTTATATTAATATATGTAATAAACGTTTCATGACGATTCAGATATTTTAACGTTTTCTTTTTATTCCTTTTTTATTCTTTATTTTAACGTTTCGGGAAAATCTTTCGTGTATTCCAAAATATTATTTCCTGATAATTTTTTGTTTTATTTTCATACGTTATGTTTTTTTTTTGTTTTTTTTGTGAACGGTTGATAATTTTTTTAATGCATTTGCTTTTTTTATAAAACCTGCAACCTCAATAGCATGTGTATATTTGCGAGGGTTTCATTAGCTTAATATATATAATATATATTTCAGATTAGCTTAATATACAAATGTGCATACAAAATTTATATTTTTATGCGTGAATTCCCTCATTCTTATACACATGCTTTGGCCAAATTTTTAGTATTTTAATATATTTTCACTGTTTTAGTTTTTATTTTCTAATATTTTTGAACTTTTAATAGGCGAATGGAATGGGTTAGGCGCTTGGGAGTCAGAAATACCAATAGGAAGCATCTCTACGCTTGCCAGAGGCATTTTTCGACTCGACCGCGCAACAAGTTACGCTTATCAAAGGGGGCTGTACCTGATATCAATTTGTGTGCACCCACAGTAGAGCCTTTTGGTAGTTTAGTAGAAGAACCTACACTACATGACTATTCATTTAGGGGTTGAAGATTGTAAACCCATTGAAGAAGGTACCTGCATTCCGGAGAACATCAATATCAAGAATTATTAGAGAGAGCTAATGAAAAAATTGATGAACTCAAACAAAAACTGTTAGATAAAGAGCGGGAAATTTAACTTTTGAAAGGGCAAAGTTCTTCTAATCAAGAGCAGGGAAATAGCGCGCAAATGGAAGAGATTTGTAGCAGTTTACCCCCACATGTCGCTATATGTGTGAGAAGTTGTCTTACAAATAATGGCCGTCATCCTTCTGGACGGAGGTTTGATAGGAGCATTAAAACTATAGCCCTAGGAGTTCAGTTCACTTCACCCTTAGCATATAGGTATTTAAGGCCCCTGTTTCATTAGCCTTCTACAACTACTTTGTCCAAATTTATTAAATGTTGGCCACGTAATCCCGGTTGCTCATACAGCAGCATTAAGTCCCTAGAGTTGAGCAGCCGTGGCTTCACAACAGAACAGAAATATGTTTCGTTGTGTTGTGATGAAATGGCTTTGAAGACCAATTAGAAATATGATAGGTTTAGGGACTTAATAATAGGGTTGGAGGACTTCGGAGATGAAAATCGCACCTCCAGAATAGCCAACAGTGTTCTAGCTATGATGGTTCAAGGCATAGGCGGAAACTCTTGGTCTCAGTCCATAGCATACTTTTTTGTGCACAATTCGTGCAAAGGTGATATTGTAAAAAAATATGTTTTTGAAGTTATCTCGCAACTCCAGGATATTGGTCTTTATCCCTGTCATTTTCTTTGTGACCAAGGGTCCAATTTCATTAACTTTGCTCGAGTAGCAGGAGTAACCGATGAAAGGCCCTATTTCGAGGTTAATGAACAGGAAATCGCCTTTTTTTATGACTCTCCCCATCTTTTAAAAAGCTCGCGAAACTGCATCCAAAGTAGCAAAAATAAAGTAAGTTTTCGAGGACAACCAGTTCAGTGGGCAGACTTCGCCCATCTCTATGAACAGGATTCCCTTCGCGAAATACGATGCGCACCTAAGTTGACATCGGCACATCTTAGGCCCACATCTTTTCAAAAGATGAGTGTCCATTTAGCTGCACAGGTTCTGAGTAATACAGTTGCTAGTGCAATGCTTTCTCTTTACAGTTCCGGGAATCTCAATAGTTCTCAGTCTCAAAGTTTCCTAAATACTGCCGAATTTGCCCTTTTCTTCGACCAACTTTTCAACATTTTTAATAGCAATACAATCGGAGCCCTACGCAAGCGCGGTCAGCCATTTACAGGAAGCACGGAGCAAATACATTTCTTACGGGAACTCAACAAACACTTACCTCAATTACAGTACATGATATATTTGGTCGGGATATAACGAATAGTTTTTCTTTCATAAGAGGCTGGCTTCAAAATATTCAAAGTTTAAAACGTTTGTGGCATTCATTGTCAAATAAGGGATTGCAATACATACGAACCAGAAAACTTTGTCAAGACGAACTTGAACACTATTTTGGACAGATTAGAAGAGGGGGAGGATTGAACCCTAGAACTACTCCATCCATGTTCTCGGACCTTTTCCGACAATCTGAGGCCTTAGGCATGTGAAGTTTGTTACTAGTGGTAATTGTGAGCCATTGCTTAGCGCTGAGTGGGAGTCCTTTTCATATAATACTTTAGAAAGAGTCTGCAATGATCCTTTGGTTCGGGATCCTTCTTGGCAAACTTTCCAAGGTTTGCATCGGCCTCTGCCAGACGGATATCAAAATATCAGAAATAGTCTTGAAGTTGATGTCGTAGAAAGTGATTTCCTCCAAAGAATTGCTTTTTCATATTTTTGCGGATATATATATTTTGAGTTCTTTAAACTACACAAATGTCTGCAGCCTTTACCGACTTTCCCAGAGGATGAAATAACCGAAGATAATTTTATTTTCACAAAAGAAAAAGTATATGAAAAATCTAATTTAGTCAAAGCTCCTCTGGCCTTCATTGAGTTTATGGAAAAACTTGAACAAATTTTAAGCGAAAATTTTGATTCCTGCTGCCATCTAATCGGGTTTTCTAAAGCTATATTTGATAAGATGGAAGGAGTAGAATTTTTAATTGTTGTATCAACTGCGATCCCAACATTCTTAAATATCTATTTATAAGAATTCGAATTTATTTTTCTTTAAGAATTTTTAATAGGGACCTAAGTTCGCCTCATTTTAAAAATATTAAATTTTTATGTGTTTCACATAGGTAAATCATGTCCCAGTTTTTCGGAAATAAATTAGATATTAAATTCGTTTATTCGTCCTTTATTCAGATAATTTTGCTATTTTCGAAATACAGTTTCGGGTATTTTTTCAAGATCCCTTTTTTTATATTAATTCAAAGCTTCTAGGGTCTCTACTGTGGGTGCTTTCAAAAACTTATTCTATAAAACCATATGTACATAAACACTATTTTTGAAAACATAATTTTAATTTTTGCTGTGCAATATTTTTTGTTTTGCATGAATTGGTTTGCTTTTTATGTTATATTTACAAATTTGAGTTAAATGTACATAATTAAAAAAACATGAATTATTTTAATTTTTAATAAAAGTTTAAGTTATATATTTAATTTTTAATTTTTGCTGTGCAATATTTTTTGTTTTATATGAATAGTTTTGCTTTTTATGTTCATTTTTATAATTTTGAGTTAAATGTATCGTTTTGCCTTTTGTAGTTTTTTATAATTTTAAGTTAAAGTACAAAATTAAAAAAAAAAAAACATAAATTATTTTAATTTTTGTTGTACTATTAGTTTAAGTTATATAGGTGAAAATATGCCTCTGGGGGAACCGAACACCTCAACAAAAATCGGTAACGCGCCTGATTGCATACCTCATGGGTGGTGGGGAAAATGCAATATCGCTAAATATATACCGCATTGAATATAATAAAAAATCGCTGATTTACTTCAATCCGGCTTTTTGGATTATCAAAATATTACAGTAAATTAACGATATCACATATCTCCCAAACCTTTTAGTTTTTAGTTTTTAATACACACACACGCGCTTACAAATATCTGCATCAAACGTCAGCAGATTGTAGTGCCAAATGTGCGCAACCACGGTTAGATGCTAGTTTTCAACTAGTTTGCGCAAGTTAGATTTTTTTTTAACTGCGGCTTAGAAATAAAAGACTGATGCTTTGTATTTTGACGTTTTGGAATGCACCCAATGCTACTTTGCCGTGGGTGCAGCGGTCTCGTGTTGCTGGAGCAAATCTCTATGCTAAAACCCACAGCGCAGGTATTTTGACTAACCCAAGTATACAGCCACTTCCACAATTCATTCGAACACTTCACCTTACTTCCAAACCTTGGAACACCTGTTGAAAAATAATATCTTATAACTCACACAAAATCCTCATTGTGAATCTTTCACTGACCTGTACAAGCAGTTCAAGGCACAACCAAGTTTGAGCGGCCATTACCCGGAGCTCCTCAAAAATACTTAATATAAACCATTTTACGGAAATACACATATACAATTAATTGATATGAATTGCTACCGTATAAATTCAGGACATACATTTGCTTGGAGACTCCTTTGTTTATGGTGGACATAAGTTCATCCAGCACATTCAATGGTCCATTACCCGGAGCTGCTCCAACGAGATGAGTCGATTTTAGTGAGCCTCACATGCCATTGCCTCTGGGTACAAGCGGGATATCCGAATATTTGAAAATAAATAGCAATTATCTATTAAAAATATAAGAAAAGTATTTGTTCACAAAATTACCTGCTCTTCTCGCAATTTCTAAGAAAAATAAAAATTCACCACTCGGAGAAACGTCAAAGAACGTGAACCACAGCTGCATTTTTGAGTAACAAGGTTTAAGAACTAGCGTTTTCAGCATTTAACAGTTCATTATTATTTACGGCGTAATATAACAAGTTAAACATTGAATTGTGATAATGTGTATTAGCATCTGTAATAATAGATAATAATTTGCAATTTTTTTACACTTTTGTAATTATTTTCGGTCACTATTACACAGTCATGGCTTGTGCAACTCTGCCATAGTACGGTTGTTGCTCCCTTTTAGACCGGAGTAATTTTCTATACAACTCTGAATCAGCAAAATTCATGCTCCTTCTCATTATCAACCCTGATCACATTTTACCCCCGAAGAGTACTCGAAAAGGTTTATTACTGTATATACTGTGGCTACAAGGAGCTGTAATGATGGCATATGAAATGCATATCGAGGGCTTATATTCAATACCCTCTGGACAATTGGCAAGTCTTTTTGCCAAGAAGCGATCAAATTAAAACA